ATGGAGATTGCATCACATCAAGCAGCAGGGAAAGAGATGCAAAGCACACTGGGAATCCAGAAAGTTGTTGAAAGTGATGAGAAGATGGAAGGCAGCGCTCACTACATAAAAGGGATTTTTTTTCAAGTATGCTTTGATTGTATTATCAAAAACAACTCAAGTATGTATTCCTATTACAATGTTGATGTTATAACAGGGTAGGATTTGACAACTCCTTTAGACAGACCCTGTCAGGTCACAAAATGTTTTAAGCCAGAGAGTCCCTGCTATGGAAGGCAGACATTTACCCACCGCTCCAGCAGTCCATTCCTACTACCTCTCCTCTGTTTCAGCACTGCAGCATTGGAAAGCCTCTTCAGCAGTCGATATTTCAGGAGCAGGATTCAACAGTGACATAAGTGGTTGGGGGTAAGGGCTTGTTTTGATCTAGGGGGCGTAAATAACTACATATACTTACCTGATCCTTGGTCCTGCCTGGCCACGCAGCCTTTTCTCCCCCGGGCTTCCGTGGTCTAAGCCCCACTGACATCATCACATCTAATGCAGTCCATTCACCTGCATAAAGGTGCCCACACACCTTGCGATAATCGTACGATAATCGTGGGAAATCCCGCGATCGTACGATTATCGTAAGGTGCGTGGAAGCCGTGCGACCTCTACTACTGTAAGGTTGCACGACTTTTATCTTAGGAACATGTTCGAAAACCCGCCGAGCATCGTACGATGTTTGGCGGGTGTATAGAATGTTCGTAAGATAAAAGCTGGACGGGCCGGTGTGCGCAAGGGCACACTGCCCATTCGGCATTGCGGTCATCGGAAGCCCGCCCCTCAGCGGGGCGCGGCTTGCGATCATCGCAAGTACGATCTGCCTGTCCAAGATGGGCAGATCGTACGTTTTTTTAATTACCTTACAACCATCGCAAGACAAAAGTCTTGCAATGGTTGTAAGGTGTGTGCCCAGCATTAGACGTGAGGATGCCGAGGGATATATCATAACCGGAGCAGAGGGGACCAGGCTGCCCACCGCCACGGGACCAGGCATCAGCTGAGCATATCTTCTGCATTAACTTTATTAATTACTTCGGTTAACTTTTTTAATTACTGGAGTTCTTCTTTAAGAAAAGTACAAAGTCATTGTTGACAAAATATTAAATTGACCTGACTTGAGTAAAGTGAACATTGATTGGTTACTATGGGTTACTGATTTTTGTACATCATCACTGCTTTTGGCCCTGCCATGTTAAGGCTGGGTTCACACCTGGGTGTTTTTCAGTGCTGATCGAAGCGCTGAAAAACGCTCAACAAGTGAAATCCTATTAAATGCTATGAGCATGGTTCCCACCTCAGCCTATTTAAGCGCGTTTTGACGCGCTGAAAAACGCCCTACGCCCAAAATAATACTGCAGCTTCTTTGGGGCGGATTTCAGAGCGAATCCATTGGACCCAGCCTGATAGATTTCGTAAACGCACGTCAAACACGCGTCTCGTGGACCGCAAATCGTGCTAAAACCGTGCAGCCCGAAACGCGGGTCAAACGCGCATGTTATGAACGTCCAGGTGTGAACCCAGCCTAAATGGCTCAATAAAAGTTAATTTGTTGCAAGTGCAGTTTAGAAACGGAAAGACAAAACCTACGGCTCAAAGGACCTCATAATGTTCTTTACCCACAAATGTCACAATTCATGCTTCGTCATTGCTTTTGTACTTTCCAGTTCAGCAACAACTTCTAATAGAATATCTCCACCTAAAGGAGTCAGCTGGAACTGTTTTGTAATAACAATAGGAATTTTATATTTTAAATACAGTGTCATTTTATTGGGCTTATATAAAGGTCTGTTCCACTCAAGATGGATAATTCACTTCTATGGGATTGCTTGCAGCTTAAATCACACGTTGGCTCTATGTATCGTAGTGTAAATATATATGTGACTGACCATTGTTACAGGTGTGTGAAGGAAAAGTGTGGGATAGGGTTGCAACCTTTTCCCGAACATTCTAGCGAGGTGTGGACTTTTTTTGGGAGAATTAATCCTGGCTTATTCATATGTAAATGGTGCCACCCATGTCATATGTTAATATCACAGTTGAGACTATTTTCAGTGGGGTGCCAGTAGCTCCTATCTTAATTTTGGTTGCCCCTGTCTCCCTGACATCTTGTGTCTGGGTTCCTGCTGCCATGAAACCCGGACACAGCATTCAAAATCCAGACTTTCCATGTGAATTCTGGACACGTGGAAACCCTAGTGAGGGGGGAACATGCCTATCCAAATCTAAAATCTCACAATAGACGTATGAAATGCATTGCATTAACACAGTCCATTCCTTTTGGAAGGGCTGCCAATGCACCCCAGCTCAGCCAAAATTGCAAAAGCAATACATGCACAGTATGAATGGAGACCTCCACCTCTGACTTAGCAGGGTGCATGTCGGAACCTCTGAAAGAGGACCACTGCTTCCTTTTATGCATCCTGAGGAGGGACAGGCTTTTCTTATTGGGCTGTTGCTGTTTTCCAAAGAAAATTAACTGTAAGACATTGCACACTTTTTGTTTTGGTGCACCTGGGATGTTCAGCTGACTTAAACTAAAAGTTAAGTTGGGCTTTTTTACCAGAATTTTTTTTTTAAAACACCTAAATTCTCAGTAAGGCTTATAGGAGCCCCGCAAAGACTGCAGCTGATGAATTTAAAGGCATTGTAAAGTCCCAGCATATCCTCATCTGATATAACATCAGCATTGTAATAGGAATACATCCCTTTTATGTAGTGAGCGCTGCCTTCCATCTGCCCATCATTTTCACCAACCTCCGGAATTCCCAGTGTGCTTTGCATCTTTCCCTGATGAGATGCAATCTCAATTTCTTAAGACTACACAGCCCATCATGCATTGCTTCCAGCAAGCAATGGTAATGTTACAATGCTCAGTTGTAGTTGAGTTGTAGTTCAGGAGGCAGGCTGAGAGCTGAGACACAAGAAAGTTCATATTCACAGTGCATAGTGAAATTGTGTCAGTGCATTTAGGAAATTCTTCCAAAGGGCATCTTAAATGAGTACGTTTACAAACTTCTGGATTAATTTAGTTATTCGGAGTGGGATAGGATTTAGGGAAATTCAATATTATGTTTTAGTTCTTGACCATAGATACCCTTTAATTATGTAGGCATTGGCAGCAGAAGGAAATGTGGAATTGGACAATATGGTTATCAAACATGGATGTCTCTATTAATAGTAGACAGCTGACTACACCAATTCTACACTTCATGTCAAACATTGCACAAAGTGAAATACTGTTTTCTGACGTCAGCCTTCCTACACTGTAGACTTTACAGAGGATAATGGTTGTAATCAACTGCAACCACATGAACCCTTATGATACAGTACTGTGCTATCTTCACATACTCTATGGTTAATGTACCTCAACAACCTATTGGGGCCCCCTTCCACACCCAGGCCCCATAGCAGCCACCCAGGCTACTATGGCTATAGTTGCGCCGCTGGTCATGTGACCCATTGAGATAACTATGTTATCTATATTGATGAGATTTGAGAACATAAACCCTCTGAACACTCTGAGTAGGTGGACCCAGGACTTTGACATAGGAGGTCTTACCTTTATACTGTACCATGCAATCTGAGATCTCTTGATGGTCAGCTTCTTCCAGAAAGTTCCTACTGTGTAGAATGGTTTACCTGTATTATATCTCCATGTTAGTATGTCATAGCCCATACTTATTATCCCGGAAGCATCAAAAGTGATATTATTAAAAGTAAAGTTCGGGCTTTTCAGTTCTTGCAGAACCTTAAAGTAAAACACAACAATAATGTAAATGATTATGTAGAAAAATTGGCAACAGAGTAAAAGGTCTTCCACCCTGAAGCAATATCTCTATTTGGAGAGATCACCAGTTTCATGGATCTTAGAGAGAGATCCCCAGGTCTGTCTCCTTTATTGGTGATTATAAACAGGGCCGGATTTCCCACAAGGCCAACCAAGGCCCGGTCTTGGGGCAGTAGGGAATAGTGGGGCAGCAGCGGTGTGGATTTCCTATCTCCCGCCGATACCCAGGACATGCATCTCGGGCGGGTAGTTTTTTTCTACATTTAGCCCTGCTTTACAGCTAAATGTACAGCAGCCACTTGTTCTTTACAAGTGATCTCGGCAAAGTCGCCAAGATCACTTGTATGCAGCCTGCAGGTCTGCCATTCTCCATGGGGGAGTTGGCAAGTAGGGGGCGCATTGAGGAACCTGGCCTTGGGGCAGCAGAGAGAATAATTCCGGCCCTGATTATGAAGCCAAACAACAGGGGATCTTATTGCAACCGCATTCTCCATAATGTAATATGTGTGTCATGCAACAGCTTATATATGGGTCAAGTAGTAAAATGTGCCCCTTGTTAAAGTATTGAAGCTGCACACCACTGATCCTTTGCATACAAAAAAGCGAAATGCATCAGTGGGAGGATGTGAGTTGAGTGTCTCTGTCACTGCTGATAGAATAAATGTTGTGTAAACAAGGGATCAGCGGTGTGTGGCTTTACTACCTTCATATACAGACAGTATGGTGTGGAAGTGATAAAATCAGGAGGTTGCCATCACCCTCGGAGAGCGGCCACAGGACCTCCGATTTATTTCAAGGATGTGATAATGTACTGCTTAGTATAAATTATAAGGTTATTGGGATTCACCAAAGACATTCAGTCACCATATAGATTAAGTCCATTTAGGCTGCAAGAGAGCATTAAACTGACCACCAGCCTAAGGGAGCACTTCTCTAATGGCCACCAATGTAATGGGACAATACAATTTTCACAGTATTTATTTTTTTACCATTTTAATTTTAGGAATATTTTTGAAAATAATTGTATCATATAGAGGTCGATATGTTAAAAAACAGCCCTAGGTGTGCCCCATTCTATATTCATTTGTTTAAAAAAAAGTTTGACATGTTGATCTCTGATGCGTACACAGATATAATATATACTTTGAGTCAATGTACTGCTTACCTGCCAAGGAAGTATACCGTACACATCTTTGCACTGGCCATCTAGGCCATGAACAATGTTATGAATAGCTTGACTAATGCAGTAGACTGCAATATACACTCGATAAGCCAAGCCGAGTACCACAGGGTCCTGTAGTATTGTTATATTGTTTGGTGTTAACAAGCTGCATGATTCACATTGTTCCAGAAGGCCCTTGGTCTGGAAAACATACTGCTGGCTGATGTTCGGATTTGATGTGCTACCATTGAGGAGAAGCTGCCTTTGTTGTTGAATCAGGTGCAGAATATGCTGTACATAGTCCTCAAACCCAGGCAATGCTTTACTTGTTTCAGAAAAACCAATAACTGTACCAATGGACTGCATGCCTGCCATCTGCTGGAGGGATGTAGACTGAGACCATGTTGTTGTGGCAATCCAGACCATTTTTAACTGGGAATCTATAACAGCTTTAAAGAAAAGCTTAGATTCCTGTTCAGTGGAGAACACAATGGTGACATTTACCCCTGTGTTCTGGAGTTCAAGAATATTGTTCTGCAGAGATGTATTGAAATTTGAGTTGGTTGAATCATTCGGTATGTAAGCTTGGTAGGCAGTGCAGATACCAGCTTGGGCAGCTAGAGTCATGAACAGGAAGAGTCCTTGATCACCGTAATCATTTTTACTAGCCACTATGGCCACCCAGTTCCACTTAAACTCCTTTAAAAGGTTTACAATTCCCTGAGCCAGGGTTATAACACCAGGGATGGTGCGTAGAAATGATGGGAAGATGACCTTGTTACTAAACCTTTCACTGGAAACCTGATAGCTGACCTGAAATACAAACAAAAAAACCTAAAAAGTTGACAGATAGACAGTCCCACAAACATACTAGGCGTCATCTACACTTCTATGCATCAGCAACAAATCCAGTGCTGCCAGCCTCACAAACTACTTGTCTTGTACAATGTTAGTCATAGGTCATGCAGAATAATAATAGGGAATATCCTTGAAGAATGGGGGCTAATGTGTTTTTTTTTCTTTGCTGCTTCAGACCAGTTCATATATGATATGAGGGAAGGGACATTAGATTGCAACCAATGTGTTCTCTGATCCTTCCTATTTCAGTATGAGCATTATAAAGGAAAAAGTTAAATTGTACATGGACTCAACACTAAAAGGGAAGGTCCGCTTATTGAATCCCCTCCCCAATAATAAATTGCCCCATCATAGCTGTAAGAAAACCAAACTTGTGGGAAAAAAGTTAGAAATCATTCTGATCTTACAATTCACTTCTGTGAGATCCCGGTAATGACAAAGTTCCCAAATCTGGGAGGGAAGAGTGTCTTCTCGCTAGATTCTCAGTATTCCCTGGATCTTCAGGGTGATCCTAGGAACAATGAGAGGTTCAGGTTCTCCTGGATCTCACTCCTCTGGGATCCTCATTATTTTACCTGGGCACCCAAGAAGGAAGCCAGTTGTACGACAGGTGTCTTTTTTCACACCGTTTTTTTTTAACAGCTATTGTGTGGGGATTTGAGAATGTGGTGGGGGAAAGTCTTAGTGCAAGGTCTACTTTGGGTGTTCCTAAAATCTAAAGCCACCAGAAAGCTATTCATTTAACATTTGACAAACTTGAATGTAAAGTGCTCAAAGTCTCCTTGAGGTAAGTTGGATGTGTCCTTGAGATGCTATGGAAATAGAAAGCGCCTCCATAGTGTAAAAGTGTGATTTAATAGTAAAAACACGCAGCCCTAAGGCTGTACTTACAACAATTCAGTTGAATAAAAACCAGTAGAGTAAGATGAGAAGTTGGAACCTCTAGCAGGGAGAATCTGGAGTGATGAAATTCACCAGCGTCCTCTATCCTTGTGTTAGCAAAAGGTTTATGCGTTTCAGGGGCACGCCTTGTTTCCTAGACTGGTGGTCAATCTGACCTGTGGGAGCTGCCTCTCTCATGTTTGCTGTATCTAATTGCTGAGCACCTTGCAATTAAAGGCGCCGGTATTTTTTCGGAAATATACAAGGTTTAAAGTCATATTAGACAAGCAACTCTGATCCAGGATAGGAACCCAAAGAGGTACGTTTATATCTTTTAGACCGATTTTTCTGCGCTTCTCTTTGTTGTCCCTGTACTCTGCTAATCTTTGCTATGTCATCTTCTGCAAATAAAGGTATCCATACGTTAGCAAGCTTTTCACAGACATAGGGGCAGCAACCATTCTCATATGCTATGTTGTGTTGTTCTGCCATTAGATAGTACAATATTGGTTTAATGATTGTTCTGTATTGTGGAAGGATGTGGATTATGATTCCATATCCCATCTCATTGTACTCCTGCTTCAATAAAGAAGAAGGCCTTAACAGTCATGTCTCCAGCACTATCTAGACTGGTAAAGTTCCTATCTGCAGCAGCTTTCCAACACCCCAACATTTAATGAGGAGTGACCACACACAAAAGGAGTGACCACACAGAGGCCAAAATTCAAATCTGTGCATGTAGCTGACAATGAGATGTGTACACCATGGGACTGTTTTATTAAGACTGGAAAAAATAAGCACAAAAGTGGATTTGTTGCCCAGAGTGACCAATTAGAATTCATTATTTTGTTTTCCATAAAATGAAAAGTGAAACCCTATTGGTTGCTACTGTCAGCAACTCCACTGATATGCCCATATTCTTTTCTCTAAGTTTAGTACAGAGCAAATTAATGGGTTCATCTAATAAATCCCTTTGAACCCCCTATCCCACTAGCCTGTTCACCTGTAGTTATTCAAATGTACATTATATAAAGCCGTTTGTATTCTCAATAAGGATAAGAGCAAAGTAAAATAGTCATTTGCAACCGGTCAGCATTTCACCAAACTGAATTAAAGCCCACCTCCAGCTTCCACTCTTTAAATAGTTTCCTGACCCCTATAATTTACCCTTTAAATCATGCACTTTTTAATTACTCTTTAATTAATTACTCTTTAAATAATTCACCAACCCCTGCTGATAGTAGAATAGCCGATTTCACTGCCATCCTTAACCTCTTCCCTGCAAGAAGACTTACCCACCCATAGATGCCCACTGCAGAAGATTAGCTCTAGAGCTAGCACCTAGGAGTCAACAGTGCATGCAGGAATTTAAAGTTTCATATTCTATTTTGCCACAGGCTTCTGCTGGATGGGAGAGTAGCAGCAGTCATGTAGCCACCATTTTTTATAGGATTTTTAGATACTGGGGAGCATAGTAACAAATAGATGCGGCAAGTGTTATAGGAAGTGAGAAGGAAAATACTTAGGAAATTTGTTTGGATTCTGAAATTGGGTTTTAAGAAGCTGAACTGCTTGTTATTAATTACTGCACATTATACATCATAACTCCCCTTTGCACATTCACTGTGTAAACCAGACATGTATATATGTAACAATGAGCTTACCTGGGGTACACGGAAGAAGCCAAAAAGTCTTGCAGTTGCTGCAATGGTTTCTGATGTTGATGGCCCAATCACAGCCACCACATTTTGCTCATAGTATGTGTAGTTACAGACTACCTGGATAACGCTATCCTCTCTCTCAGAAAGAAACTTCAAGGCTGCATGTAGCGTGGCTTCTGTATTACAGCAGGTGTCATATATCTCATATCCAAGGCTAGAATTAGGCAGGATGGTACTGCTGTTGTTAATTTCCTCTACCGTAAACTTCATGGCCAATAACCCAATGAATTCATGGATGTTGAAGCTGTTGGAAGAGGGACTGACACATTAGGCTTGCCTGAGCTGTGATAGGAATAGGAACTGCTGTACCTTCAGTATAGAATACAATTCTTTACTGTGAGAATGGATAAGCTGTGGAAGGTCCTACTGTACGGGGTAGTTCTGGTATACATATGGTATACATACAGGTGAAACTCGAATAATTAGAATATCGTGCAAAGTTCATTTATTTCACTAATGCAACTTAAAAGGTGAAACTAATATATGAGATAGACTCATTACATGTAAAGCAAGATAATTCAAGCCGTGATTTGTCATAATTGTGATGATTATGGCTTACAGCTCATGAAAACCCCAAGAACCCCAAATCCACAACCTCAAAAAAGTAGATTATTTCATGCAATCAATAAAACAAGGATTGTACATAGAACAATATCGGACCTCTGAAAAGTACAAGCATGCATATGTACTCAGTACTTGGTTTGGGCCCCTTTTGCAGCACTTACTGCAATTACTTTTGCATGATATTCTAATTATTCGAGTTTCACCTGTAATGTAGCAATATGCAGTATTTTGATGTAAGCAATTGATCTGTTGCCTTTCTTATGTCAAGAAGGAATGTTTTCCAATTGATTTGTCCCAGCTTATGATCATTAACAATACTCAGAACATATAACATATAACAGAAAGAGGGCGGTTTCAGTCTACACTGTATGATCCATGCTGAAAAAAACATAACAGTGAAGGTGGTTTTTAGTTGATATAAAGATCTTCTAATAGAGACCTTTTTCACTTTGCCATTTGGGGTGAAGAATAGGTTGGACTTGATGGACATGTGTCTTTATTCAACCTCAAATACTATGTAACTATGTAAGATCCATTGTCTGTGACAAGACTGTCCTGACCCACTGATACAAACCTAAGTAGCCTGCGTGGTAAACCCTAATCCTACAAGAAGCAAAAAAAACCAGAATGATAGGCTTTCTACCCTTCTAACGCCCTTACATGATAATATTTAAAGTTTAGTAAAGGTGTGGGTTTTGGAGCCGATAAAATTGATATTTATGTAAACGCTTTGGTATAATGGTGTTCCTTGACTCCTTATCACTCCTGAATAATCAGCGTGTGGCTTTGTGATAAGCAAATGAGGATCACCAAACAAGGGCTCTTGGGGCAGTGGCACTGATGGATGAAGATCTGCCTGAGGGTCGTTATCCCCTAAGACAGTCCAGCTGGTATTTACTGCCCACACCTGTGTTTGCAATGCAGCATGCATGCTGGGATGGGGGCAGGGGCATATGATGAAACCTTCTTCCTATGCGAACAACTGCATAAACCTAGCTCAGAAGCAGGAACAATGGTAACCTTGGTGACCTCTTGGACAAGACAAGTTTTTTTTGGCTCTACCATCAAGAATGTGAGTCGCTGAGACCTGCTGCATAGTAGTGTTCCAGGGACAGAGAAAAGGCCCTGGGATGTGTGAATGAGAGAGAATGATGTTGCTGGCTGAAGGATCTTAACCTCAATGCCTATCCCTACCTACCCTTCGAAATCCCCTCTCCATTTCCCTTAATTGCAATTAGAATTTATGTATATCCCTATTTGTAAATAAATCCAACCCTCATTTAAGATTCATTTTTCCGTCATTAAATCAAGGCACCCCAAAGCAGAGCACATTCTACAGGGGGTCTATTCATTTTGTCTGTGTACCCCAGATCCACTAGTTTTTTAAAGTAGCACTATCCGAACAATATCCGCACTGATTGTGATATCTAGCCCCTATCAGAGGAAATACAAAATCTTACTTTTTGCATTTAGTAGTTCCATTCTTTCCCCAGTTGTCCAACGTGTCAGCTTCATCATGTATAGCGAAAAGACCCCCAAGTTTGAAGTCTCCAGGTATTTTGAAAAATGTTTGACTGGTCGAATCTCCCGTCTTCAGTAAAGGGCAAACTAGAGGACAGGTGAGTAGTAATAGAATAGCTAGTGCACCAAAGGTGGACATCTCCACATGGAATCTGGGAATGGCCACTCGTTTGTGCCATTGGTATAGTAGAAAATGGACACGGTTTGATTAAAGCGTACATGGAAATGAGCTGTTGTTTGCACTTATAAATTTGTGTATGCTGCTCTGCTTTCCAGATGGTCATGACAAATAGACACTGATCAAATATGTGACATGCTAATGATGAACAAAAAACTGAAATAAAGTGCACATAAAGCCAAAACTTTTCTTTTTGTTTAGTTTTCAATAGATTAGCGAAGAATAGGAAGTAGAAAAAAGTACACTCCCATGCCAAGCCCCTAATTACACAGACCATGAAGAATATGCCCAAAAATGATGGCTAAACCCACAAACACTTTTTTCACCCCTACTTTTCATGCTGTTTTTATTCAAATAAAAAAAAATATATTTTAGAGGCTGGATAAACAAATGCTGTGTAGTAAAAGACTTTGGTGGATGCATTTTTTTACAGACATCTATATACCAGACCGTAAACTGAGTCAACTGAGGAAGAACGTGGGATAGACTGATTTGGTTTCCAAAAGAGGGATAATCCATCCAAATGAGGGACAGTAGCTAGCTGTAAATATGGACACACTCTGTAGTAATATGGCTGACCTGACCCGGGTAGTATAGTCATTTTGTTGGTGCTTATATGGCTTCTTTGACTAGTAATATGGTCACACTGCATCTGTCTATGTGAATGCATAGACTATGATAATATGGTCACATGGTGTGGTAATATGGCTTCCCTGACTCTGGTTATATGGTAACACTGTCTTCATACATGCCAGCTTTCTTAGATGAGGAAGAGGGACACCGTCTAGCACAATAGGGCAAATTTATGAAAACTGGAGCAGACAGAATCTGGAACAGTTGCCCATAGTAACCAATCAGCTGAATGGTTGCCATGCACAGTTGCTCCATATGCTGTCTGCTCCAGTTTTGATAAATTCCCCTCAATGCATTTAGACAATAGACTCACCCCTGCCATGCCCTCAGGTATGCAAACCATTAAGAATTAATATGCAACAAATGATTGGCATAACCCAGAATTGCTTTTTTCATGACTACTTTTCCTCTATGCTGGCTTTTCGAAATAGCAAACACGATATTTGGGATTAGAAGAAAAATTTAGTGCAGAATAACACTTTTGGTAAGTAAATAGTACAGTGGTGGCGAACCTTGGCACTCCAGCTGTTTTGAAACTACAAGTCCCATGAGGCATTGCAAGGCTCTGACAGCCACAGACATAACTCCCAGAGGCAGATGCATGTTGGGATTTGTAGTTTTGGCACAGCTGGAGTGCCAAGGTTCGCCATCACTGAAATAGTACATCAGACCAAAAAGAGGGACAACTAGGGAGGAAAAAGAGACAGAAGGATTTGGTTCCAAGTAAGCACCGGTTAGGAAGTATGCTGTCTGTGCTAATGTGACTTCTCTGATTCTGGTGATATGGTCACCCTGTCTGTGCTAATATGATTTCTTTGACTAGTAATATGGTCATACGTATGTGTGGTCCCAGCTCAAAAGATTTTGACAATGGCTTGGCGGATTTGGGAGCGATATTTGGCTTGAGGAGTGGGTTTAAAGACACAGGACAGTACAACATAAGTGTATGTCCGTCAAAGGCTTAAGTGTCCAAACAGACCGTAATCCAATAATAATCCAAGCTTTATTAAAATCCACAATGAAATATCAATATGTGAATATACACCAACACTGCAAACCACAGTGTGAGTGCGGTCTGTTTGGACACTGAAGCGATTGGAGGCGAGAACACACTGGTTTGACCAGCACCATTGGAGGTTCCAGAACACGATTGTGGCCGGAGAATCAGAGCGGTGAGATCTTGTGTCTTCAAATATCTCTGTCAAAGGTTATGGTACTGTATATCTTTTATAAAACTTTCTCTTGATAGTGTAAGTATTCATGTTTTTCTTTGCAGGCTTGGGTTCATTCTTTTTTATATAGTGACAATCAATTTAAGAATACAAAACGATAAAATAAAACAGAGATTACAAATATTTCTAAATAAAATGCATCGAGACATGACACAAGTATGATTTTTCATTTTTTTAAGTACAATTCCAAACTTACACTCTATAGCTAGTTATATTAACTACAACTGTAGCCTATAATACACCAACACCATATTTCTGAGTTAGAAACATATTTTTAGCTCAAGAAAACCTCTTTAGTGGGCAGCTAGTTATTATATATTTTGAAATACTCCTCTGATGCCATCTGAGGGTTAAACAAAAGAATATAGCATTTTGGAGCAAAATAACCCAGCATTATACCAAAGGAACTGATAATAGTGACTGCCATTTGCAACAAAGATTGGCTACCATCTGTAACTTCAGCATAAGCGGGAACAAAAACGATCCATATCAGCAAATAGGACAATGTTGAGAACGTGATATCTCTGGCCAGGTTATATTGGCCAGGTGGAGCCTGTGCTACACAATTTAACATGAAGGATATAAGAGCTAGTGATCCATTGTAGCCAAACATCAAGAAGAAAGCAAGGATATTGGGGATTTCACACTTGAGATATTTATAGAGGAAAGTGACCTCATTGTTTTCAGGTGAATTGACTGTGCTTACAATATGCCAAGTGCAGAACAAACCCTGAATTAGGATGCCGGAGAGAAAAGAAACCCAAGTCCCTGTGGTCTTTGACCACTGGATAAATTTAGTGGGAACGTCTTTAAAGTCCGTCACCAACATGACTTGGACGGCCTTGATGGAGAATGTTGACAGACAGCAAGTGAGGCTCATAGCCAGGAATGGCTGCTGCAATAGGCACACCACATGCGCTGGCTTTCCTATGAAAAGGACCATGCTAGATAGAACGGCGACTAGAGAAGTAAGAGCAATGAAGCACATGCAGCCACCAGAGGCCTGAACAAGTGGAGAATGTCTGTGTTTGAAAAACAGAATGAGCGTTCCCAGGACAAAACAGAGCAGGACAAAGGAAAGGAGCAGAAGCCAAATGACAGATGTGTCACTCCACTGTAGATACAGGTAGGTAGGGTAGCTGCAGCTGGTGCTCCGTACACTGGACCACTGACCCGCTGGACAAGATTGACACTGGAAGTCATCTGAAAAAAAGAAAAGATGATAGTTACAATTCCAGTGTTTTACAGTAATTACAGGCAGTCCCCGAGTTACATACATCCGACTTACATATGACTCCTACTTACAAACGGAGGCTATTACTGTACAGCAGGGGTCGTTGTAATGCTACCGCGCTCGTGCCAACGGGGAGTGCCCGCCTTTTTGGGTCTGGTTCGTAGTACTCTATGTACATTACAGGAAGTTCGCCCTTGTTAGACATGCAGACGAGGGGTGCCCGCCTCTTCTTCTGGGTCATCGTGAGGTTTTTACTGCTGTCTGTATCCTCATTAGTAATATTTAATCTCACTTCCTGTCCTTGAGACAACAGGAAGTGAAAGGAAATCTACCCCAGGAAGGGAAATTCACTCTTGTAAGAGTGATCATGGGAAAAAGGTGTCTCCCCTGAAGCTTTATCACCAATCCTTGTTTCCATGACAACCCAAATTTGAATTTTCAAAATCCAATTGTCACAGGGACAGAAAGTTAGGTGGAGTCTCCTGAACAGGGGCACACAGCAAAATAAACTTTACTGGGGGTTAAACCTTCCCTATGCTATCCAAAACGAAAAAAAAATTGGGGGGCTGGAGTTACCCTTAAAAAATGTACCTGTTTCAACTTACATACAAATTCAACTTAAGGACCAACCTACAATCCCTATCATGTTCGTAACCAGGGGACTGCCTGTATATATATTTGTTCATACCTCTGAAACAAACTGAAAAAGATCTTCAAATAGTTTACTTAAATAATGCTTCACCTTCAGAACTTCACTACACAAAAATCTTTTGCTGATCTCTAATGCCTAATGCTTACCCCCTGAAGACTGAAATAATCCCTCCTGACAATCAATACAGTCAAAACAGCATGAATGTGTTCCTTTCACTCTCTTAATCTGACCAGGTAAGCAGTCACCAGAACACTGAGATACTGGAACCTGAAAAAAAAAATTACAACTATTTAGAGCCATGGGACTCAATCCTGTTTTTTTGAAAGATAAATGTACACATAAAACACATTATGATATTAGTTTTTCTTTTCAATGCTTTAAGAGTATCACGGGCTCCAGCTAGTTTAAACATTGCCTTGTTTACATTCAACCTGTCTGTAGTAGAAGTCATAGCTTTCGTCAACAACACTTTTTCAGTGACTAAAACTAGACTAAAACTAAACAAAAACATTACATATTGACATTTCAGTGGACTAACTAAAACTAGACTAAAATGTTAGGGAGAGACGATTTGGGAAGCGATCCAATCAGAGCTAATCTCTTTGGACTTCCAGTTCTGGTGGAATCCTGAATGGATGGCTAATAGGTAATATGTGCAATGGCATTACAGCCAATATAGTTTTTGATTTAAATATTTAAGAGTTGCACTTCTGTTTGAAAGAATGAAGAATGTCATATGCAAATTGTTATAATCAATACATATCTAATTACTGGTCCTTTTCTGAAAATACTCAGTGTTATTGTTTCTTTATAAGACTTGGTTTCATCTAATTTTAAGATAAATAAAGATGTGTTATACAGTATATCACAACAGTTAAATCTGTGTCTGTATTGCATGTTCAAACCTTAAAGGAGAACTATGAGGTGAGTGATTTTCACTCAACCTTGAGTCAACGCGTGACAATGAAACTGTCACACGTCGGCTCAATAGACCGGGAAGTGAGTGAACACATACTGTCAAAATTAATAATAAAAGCTGCGCTATTATTATGAACACATACTGTCGCTCGCTCACTTCTCGATCATCTCCCTGCATAGGGTGGTGACTGTCAGTCACGGCTCCCTGCAAGGAATTCCCCCCCCCTTGCTCCGATCCTCCTGACTGGAGGAACGGACGGTGGAGGGGGCGGGTACAGCTGGCTGAGCCTCTAGATAGTGTGAAACAACGAGAGAAGGAGCGCTACAACCCTGGAATACTTGATGTTTAACAGTTTGGAGATATTGTGTAACTTTTAGTGCAGACTCACTTTTAGACGGACGAGGTGGTGTCTTGCCGTTAGTTGTCAGCACTGCTCGCAGGGCGGAATCTGTGGCTGGTCTGTGTGGGAGTGAACTCCGGGCTATAAGGCTTCTATTAGGTCCATGGATGTTGGAAGGTGGTTGATGTAACCGGATGACCCGTTGAGGCGAAGTACACTGTGCGTGTAGTGTGACACTCACCGTCAGGTGCAATGAGAGATCAGCTGGCCAGGCTACCACTCGTCGGCTGATCGGGAGCAGGAGCACCGCTGTACAGCGTTCTGACAGTGGAACAGTGGTCGCTATGGAGGGGGTTAAAGAGCAAGCTTCATGCTGGAGGACCTTGCGGTCCGTGGAGTGGTCGGTGTGACTACGCGTTTCATGTGATATATCTGAAACGCGTAGTCACACCAACCTAACCCCTTCCATAGCGACCACTGTTCCACTGTCAGAACGGTGTACAGCGGTGCTCCTGCTCCCGATCAGCCGACGAGTGGCAGCCTGGCCAGCTGAGCTCTCATTGCACCTGACGGTGAGTGTCACACTACACGCAAGTGTATTTCGCCTCAACGGGTCATCCGGTTACATCAACCCCCTTCCAACATCCATGGACCTAATAGAAGCCTTATAGCCTGGAATTCACTCCCACACAGACCAGCCACATATTCCACCCTGCGAGCAGTTCTGACAACTAACGGCAAGACACCACCTCGTCCGTCTAAAAGTGAGTCTGCACTAAAAGTTACACAATATCTCCAAACTTTTAAACATCAAGTATTCCAGGGTTGTAGCGCTCCTTCTCTCGTTGTTTCACATTGTCTACAGGGTCCCTCTCCCTGATTTAGGAGCTCGCTCACCCACACCCATTTTTCAAAGTTTTTTAAAAGTTTTGTAACAGTTTTTTTAAAAAGTGCTTTTAAAGTTTTTTAAAGTTTTTTAAAGTTATTTAAGGTTTTTCATACTGTTCACACCTGTTGTGCGCTCGCCACTCCCATTGTTTTTATCAGCCTCTAGATAGGCAGAGCCAGCTGTCACTCACGCAGCTGGGTGGATCTCGACAGTAATGTCGGGATCCGTCCCGGCTGCGGTGGACTAAGTATACCGTGAGCTGTAGCTCGCGGTATACTGAGCTTTGGGTCACGGGTGGAACGATAGTATATGTCCTCCCGTGACCCTTAGGAGAACTACTTCTCCTTTAATACGATTAGTAATAATAGGTTGACAGATGTTTACTCCAGGAGTATATAATGAGATTGGAAAGTCAACAGAAATTATTAAAATACTCTTTAACTAAACCCACTGGATTTTAGTTGACTAAATCTACTGTAGATTTAGTCAACTAAAATCTTATGATATTTAGTCGACTACAACTAGACTAAAAGTAAAACAATTCAGATGACTAAAATATGACTAAATCTAAATGGCATTTTAGTCAAAAGACTATGAACAAAGCTAAATTTAAATGTTGTTGTCAAA